CAGTGATATATGTGATATTATATTGCGTGCTCAAAGAATAACGCCGAACAAGTTATCTTTCATGAATACCTATGCATACTATAAAATAAGTATGATTGCAGTTTGTAGGCATAGGCCTACGCATCAGTAATGCAGTTTATATTAAGATTATGTTATGTTTCGCATAATAGTATTGTTGTGTGACTGTCATAAGCCTATTATCTGAGCTGGTGTATTATTACTGATTTTAAAAAAGCTACCGTATGCTATGATAATGATATAGTATATGATATGATACGCGTTGATACGATATGAAATACTTTACGATATATATTTTATGATATATTATAAGAACTATGATAGTATACCGTTACAGTGCAATGATAATTCATGTTCATATATTTCTATATACTTATATATATATCATATTATATATATATATATATATATATATATACCGTATATCATATTACATATATCGTATCACATAATTCAGTACTACAGTAATAAAATTTCGATAAAAAGCTCCTACAGTATATATTCTTGTAATAATCATGAGTTATTTAAACGCTATCGAGGAGTGATTTTGTTTAAAGCACGGAGTAAATTAACCTTAATGATAGCTCGATCGTCGATGAATTGCGAGTACTGTAAACATTTTTTAACCAACTGAATAATATTTAGGTGTTACTTATAAACATATTGATCGCACATTGGATTGGAATTATTCAGTGTAAACACACACATCGTACCGTATTCAATAAAGTATTGAAATGCCACAACGTCCTTCGTCACCGCTGCAGCTGTGGCAAACGATGGATTTGTTACATATTGTATGTTGTACAGTAATAATAAAACTAATATTAAGGATTACTGTATATAGTGCCCAATCCAGTTAAAGGAAAGATTACGCTCCTGATACCTTTCTCCATGCTCATGACACCATTTTCCATGGGAAATACTGTAAAGAAGACTGATATTACATACATGTTTTGCCTTCATGATAACCTACACCAGTACTAAGGAAAGGTTTTTCCAAAAAACCAAAGGAATAGACTTTTCCGGAGAGCCAGTCTAATCTAGCAATTGACAAGGTCCATGAATTGACCAATCAGAACAGGTTAGGAACATGTCCAACAAGCCCACATAGGGAAAGGTGGTCCCTATCCATATTTCCGGTACAGAACGTAGGAGAGATGAGCTGTTTTAAATGAAATTTAATATGTTTAAAACGATATCCGTTTTTCTACTTATACGAATATGATCGATAGTTCCCGTAAAACACAGATAGGCCTATGCTTAGAGATAAATTGTTACAAAACCCTCACTAATATCAGTGCAAATCTGCAGATAAAATTGATGACGTAACCGTATTCTTTGTCATTTTCGTGCTAAAGGTTACAAAAACGTCACTAATATCAGTACAAAGCAGCTGTTATCATTCACTATCAGTTTAACATTTTTATTATCGGTAAAAAACTCGCTCAGTTTGTAAAATCACACACCAGAGTTGCCAACCGTATATGAGTTGTAATTATAAGACGATGCTGATCGTGTGAGAATAATAATAATAATAATAATAATAATAATATTAATAATAATAAATAATAAATAATAATAATAGTAATAATAATAGCGGACATTTATATAGCGCCTAACCAAATCGTAATATTTGCTAAATTACATACACTATATTATCATTACTTATTTTAAAGAGTGAGTATTGTAAGAGGCCTCTTATTTTCTGCTCAAAGATGGCCGCTCACCCACCCACCCTCTCATCCCACCCCCACATACATATTTATATAATTTAGGGCTAGGTTAGGAAAGACCCCAGCGAATACTGATTGCTTTTGGATTAGATTTCTGCATGCAGTTCTGGAAGTTTTTTTCACATGCACAACTATTGATATGGTTACACAGAAGCTGTGTAAGTCACTTGATAAATATTTCGATATTCATTTCTTAAAATATTATCGTATATCTAGACATCATCATAATGCGTATTAGCCTAGAATTTTTGTAGGTTACCCCAGAGTATTTTTGGGTTGCCCGTCGAATTTGAATTTGCAAAAGGTGTATGGGACTTAATAGCTTGACTTAACTAAACCAGAATGATATATTCCGAGTTGCAATTTGTCACGCTTCGATTTAAATGGACACGCAAATAATGAACTTCCAAATCGACGAATATAACTTTCGAAAAGAAAGCATCTTACAATTACTGACAGTATTTTCTAATTGAAATATGCTCTTGGGATTAAAATTGTATAGAGAGAAATATTTATGTGTCGCATTACCCCCCTTTGCAAAGATCATCAACTGTCTCTTATACACATCTAGATGTGTAATATAGGCCTATATATATATAGGCATAATATTAGCAACTATTGACCTGAATATTTCAAAGTCTATCCCCCAGTCTAATACTCAGTACGACATTTAATGTTGTAACTGTTTTCCTACATGAGCTTATTGTCTACCCGCCGGCTTTTTCCTTCAGGATCTACCTGATATTTCAAGATTTCAAAGCTAGGCTCCGGAGTAAAACAGTTTTGATATTTTGTAAAAAATGAATACTGAAGAGATGTTGAAGAAATAACGAGGAACGGCTAACAAGATACAGGTTTTTTTTCGAATATTTAAAAACTTGGGGAAAACGGGTGTTCTACATTGGTGCATACGTATATACGTCACAACTAGCGCTCAACGGATCGTTTTTAAGGACGATTGGTTCAGACTGCCGCCAACAATCAGCAGACAGCGTCGCGTCGTATCTCACAGGGAACGGAGATTTGTCGTTTTGCGGTCGTACGACCGTCGTTTTATTCCGTGAATTCCCGTCTTTATTTGTTGATTCTGACCATTATTTACGGCCATCGAGATGTGCTCTTTTTATGACGAGTAACATCACCGATGTTTGTATTTTCTCAAAGGGTATAGGATGGTAACATAATATGTATACTAGTATGAAAATATGAACACGATGAGATTTTCACTTCAATTCGTCATCATCAATATTCTACCCTAGCCATTAACCCAACGCAAAGAAGCACGCGGATAGAAATTATGATTCTACATAAATATACATTAACCTAATAAAACGTATTGATGAAATTTACAATAACGTACAGATGAGAAAAAAAAAGTATAATCGGCTATGATGAGTCTTTGTATATAACAAACAGATTATAGATCGCTACCGTTATATATTGAACGTCTTTGTTATTTATACCTATCTCATTGATGGCAATACAATCGACATAGGTAATTATGTTAATCGTTTTTAATGTACAATATAAACATAACCTTTAAGCCCATCTTATAATAAAAAATGTTCGTGCATTATCATATACTCTCAATGCTTAATTTTCTCTATATAAGCGACTCTATTAATATTGAATTTATTCAGCTACGATTCACATGCACAACTATTGATATGGTTACACAGAAGCTGTGTAAGTCACTTGATAAATATTTCGATATTCATTTCTTAAAATATTATCGTATATCTAGACATCATCATAATGCGTATTAGCCTAGAATTTTTGTAGGTTACCCCAGAGTATTTTTGGGTTGCCCGTCGAATTTGAATTTGCAAAAGGTGTATGGGACTTAATAGCTTGACTTAACTAAACCAGAATGATATATTCCGAGTTGCAATTTGTCACGCTTCGATTTAAATGGACACGCAAATAATGAACTTCCAAATCGACGAATATAACTTTCGAAAAGAAAGCATCTTACAATTACTGACAGTATTTTCTAATTGAAATATGCTCTTGGGATTAAAATTGTATAGAGAGAAATATTTATGTGTCGCATTACCCCCCTTTGCAAAGATCATCAATGCATTCAATGAACTTGCTTCAGCACTCTAGTTACATTTTCTTTCAGCTCACGTTGAAAGTGGTACGGTTAGTCGCCTCCAAATTTGAGCGTATATAGTTAAGCGTTTTCTTATCTGTGCTGAATGATTTAAACACTAAAATAAATCACATTCTAACCATTCGTGTCATGAAATCCAACTATAGAAGCTGTTATTAGAATGTAAGCCGATGACAACTGTTATTTCTTAGTTACTCTACCTAAAATATTGCGGCTAATAATATTAACGTTTACTCGCTTTGACAGATGCTTAGCCTACGACTCAGTGAACTGAACACCGTAGTACAGGCGTCCAGCCTACCATCTGTAATTCCTACTGTTTATTATGTAAAGGAATATCACTTTAGCTTTGACTAACATTCTTGAACTCTGATTAAGAACGATTTACTTACGCTCTTTAAAATTATATATGTAAGTAATTTACCGGTTTCATTACATAACATATAGTATATTGCAATGTAATGTAATAATGGAACTTAATACAGTGGATTTATGCCGTTGCCTCCGTCCAAACGCAATGCTCATAAGAAAGAAGGACGGAGTTTATATTTAAGAACCATAGAATAAAAGAAGGATTACAAACGCTCTACAAGATTGTCGGAATTAATAAATAGATATAGGCCTAATGCAGCTCACGGTGCAGAACAATTTAAAAGAATTAAGATTGCCGTGTGTAGCAAGGAAATAACTGCCTTTTTCGCAATTTTAGTGTTATCCCCGATATTCTGTTCTGCCTGAACACGTTTAGGTTTTCAATATGTCACCTTGAAAGTGGAACAAGATTGCGTGACATCATAATGCGTATTTCGATGTCTGTTGAAAGTCCGAAAATGCTCAGTCTCATCAAACAATGTCTGATCAAACATTAAGGCCTGTTTAGAATATCAAATTTTCTTTGATCAAAAAACTGATGCATCCCCATATACAGTCATGATATGCCTATATATGGTCATGATGTGATGTCATCATGACCATATATAGTCATGATGTGCCTATATATGGTCATGATGTGATGTCATCATGACCATAATTAGGCATGTCACATGTTTTTATCAAACAAAATCTGACAGTCTAGGCAGGGCTTTAGTATACTTGAAATAGATAACGTAATCCCGGATTTAGACGATTTTTTAAATTCATTTAGTCGAACTTGGCCCTGTTGCCACACTTAATCTCGGGCTTAAACCGTGCAGTGCGTGAATGTAAATCGTTCTCAGCCAATGAAAGCTCGTATTTTGCTAACCTCTCATCTTGAGGCTCAAATTTCGTTTGTAACCTTGAATTAATTTTCGACCGAGTTCGATATTATATTGTCTGATATTAATTAGCCTAATATATACAGGTTGAAGTCACATTTATGCTCCTTAACGATCAATTATCTTGTATTCATTGCATCACGATATTAAACCCTAGCTCGACGAAGCTCCTAGACGCAATCATTTTACGTCCCTGAGGTTGGAAGGTCTTCGTTCGTGAACCTGGTCACCCGGAAAACTAGATACTGCGTAGTAATCATTTTAGCATTTACATTTTCTTGAAAGCAAATTACCTTCACAGTTTTGCTCTCATTACATGTTACACTTGAATACCGAGATTTGCAATAAGTCGAATTTATGAACAGCAAAACTAACTTATATATTGTTTGCATCAGAATCTTGTATACGGGCATACCTCGAAACATAGTGCCTGAAATGACAATTTAAAAAATGACAACGGCAAAAATGATGATAATGTTTGATTATGATGATGATTTTTTAATGTATAGGCCTATTTGGTTAAACTATTTTAATATTTTGATATTTATGTCGTTGTTTGTAAATTTTTATCCATTTTAAATAATGTTACACAGCATACCTGTAATTTAATTTTCTGGAAAAGTAAATATTACTTTGGCTTTAATAATAATAATATTAATACAGTAATAATGATAATAATAATAATAATAATAATAATAATAATAATAATAATAATAATTATTATTATTATTATTATTATTATAGTAATTTTTAAGAAAATTTATATCTGCGTCTTCTTTTTCCACCTTCCTGCTGAGTTTCTCAAGCAAGGTCTTGCTTTGTGACCGTACTTCTCTGTGAAAAGTCATTTTCGGCGTTTTCCTTAAATTTAAAGCATTTAAATATTTAATAGCAATACTTTTTATTTATCTCGATAAGCCCTTATTAAAGCGTATGACAGGAACGTTAACGTGCCATTGTGTAATATAATAAACAATAAGATAATTCAGTGAAATAAAATATACTAAAACAGTAGAGAATTCTTACAAGAAATGTACATGTGATATCATTACAATTCAGAATTAAGTAAATAATGAAAGCTCCAAATCGTGTCTCCGATGCTTATTAAAGCATTAAGTTTATAATTAAGTATGATAATACAACGCGAAAATATAAATAATCTATACCACTAACATTAATACTTTAAAATTCCAACAACTTAGTGCAGAGGAGCAGAACGCGTAACTCGACGATTCGTAACTTAACGGTGTCAATTTCCTCACGTGTTCGATATATAATTATAGTAATATAATAAGATTTATGGGGTGGGATTAATGTCTTACCCCGAGAGAGTTTCAACCTCTACAGCTGGGTGTTAATTCGCACGACAGATAGTTAAATATTTGGTTTTGATTACAGTATTATAAAATCTGAGTGTACTCATGCTGTCTTAGCACGTGATTCCCTGGTTAATTAGCATTATAAATTACGTTTGAGATGTCAATTAGGTACTATGAATATCGAATTATACGATAATATAAAATATATAGGCCTATAATATATACGGTATACAATATATATATATATATACAATATAAATATATATATTTATATACATATGTATATGTATGTATATATGTATATATATTTATATTATATTTATATATATTAATTAGCATTATAAATTACGTTTGAGATGTCAATTAGGTACTATGAATATCGAATTATACGATAATATAAAATATATAGGCCTATAATATATACGGTATACAATATATACTGTCTCTTATACACATCTAGATGTGTATAAGAGACAGCGTATATACGTCACAACTAGCGCTCAACGGATCGTTTTTAAGGACGATTGGTTCAGACTGCCGCCAACAATCAGCAGACAGCGTCGCGTCGTATCTCACAGGGAACGGAGATTTGTCAGTTTGCCCTCCAGTTCGAGACCACATTTGGGACCTGATAATGCTGGATAGTTTCGGGTTTCGGTCTAAAATTAGAGAGATAGCTTTGCGTTAATAGACTGAAAATTGTTATTTGGTTCTTTAAAAAAGTGGTCTTGAATTAGAGGAATCCTGCAATCAAAAGTGTCTCGAATTGTAGGGTACCTTGCATTGCAAGACGAGAAAGGGGCTTATTGCAAAATTGCAAAATATAAACATTATACGCACAGTCATTTGGATATCTTAACATATCATCATCTCGGATTCGTGTTGTCGAAACAGATTGATTTCATCTCAGAAGCCAAAATTATCGTCCCCATGAATATCCCGTGTTTAAACTAGTATCTTTAATCCCACGCATTCCAAAAATAGCCTAAGGATAATATTCCCAGTTTACACATTTCCGATGTTTCAACAATAGCGTGTCCATATTATGATTCCCAGTGTTTCGGCAATTCTATTTTTTCAAGCAGTTTAAATTGATCGTCTGTATTACCAACTTACATAATATCTCTATTATCCCCATAAGTATTCTCAATGAATTTACTAATGTTCCCATACTCATTTACAGTGTCTGCAATTGTTTCAATCAATAAATCAATAAATCAATAAATCATCAATCAATCAATAAATCATCAATCAATCAATAAATCAATCAATCAATATCTCTATTCAACAACATTTGAAGAAAAAAAAAAAAAAAACTCCATGAACCAATAGCAGATGCAATGGTTAAATAAAATATGAAAAAGGAGATAAAGTTTCAAAAATACCTTCAACTCTAAGGAGTTTCGATTTCTTTAAATTACTCGGTCTTTCGCGCCTGATTTTAATACAATGGATAATTGGGAAATTTCGCAACTTTACGAAAACGATGTTCAAGAGTACAGGTGTCTTGGTACTTATATTGATGATCAACTTAGTTTGGAGAAACAGTTGAGATTGTAAAGAAAGGAAAGGAAAAGTTACACTTTCTAAGAAAACTAGCAGGTTTAACGTTATTCAATGGTACTCTTAAACTTTTTTTTATGAAACAGTTATTCAATCGGTCCTAAGTCATCTCTTTTATTGCTTGGTACGGTAATGTAAACAACAATAATAATAATAATAATAATAATAAATAAATAAATAATACTTATTATTATTATTCTGGATTTATATAGCGCCATACATTGTCACAACCTTAAGGCGCTTCAAGATGAGATTGATTTTGAAATAGAAATATTTAAGATTATTTTATCGATTTTTGAGAATAACTTTTATATATTGTTTTTTAATAATAATAATAATAATAATAATAATAATAATAATAATAATAATAATAATAATAATAATAATAATAATAATAATAATTGCGACTTATATAGCGCAAATTGTAGAGACCTCTATGTGCTTACATTATTACCCCCGGATCACTGGATCAAGCACATATAACACACACTCAGGTCCCATGGGGGAATTACATAATGTTGCAGCTGTATTCAGCGCAGGCTGTGTCTGAACCTACCAGGTACCAACTTGTGGAGTGGAGAGAGACAACCGTAGATAAAGTGATAAAATCTATTTTATTCGTGCTCTTCGTATTTTACTCATGTTACTGTAGGCCTATATGTTTGTATTTGTTATGAGGGCCTCTTTGAGTCAGCCTCGCTGTAAGAGCTACTTTCACAAAAGAAAGTTGAATAAATAAATAAATGAGTACAAGAAGCGTTTAATAAGGATTACTAAGAATCCAATATGATTGTTTGCTCCGTTAATGATTTCAGTCGTATGTATGAGAAACAAGCCTTAAATAAACTAAAGAAAATAATGGAAGATAAAAAACCCCAGATTGTCTGAGGGCTCCACGTGCTAACACCTCCATACGTAGGTTGTCATTTGTCATTTTCACATATTGTTTAATTCAAACTTTGTTAGATAACATTCTTGCCTGTGCATCTTTGTATTAATGATTATGGTAATTTTAACAATGGTGATGGTGATGATGATGATGATAATAATAATAATAATAATAATAATAATTATGATAATAATTATAACAAATTTAACAGCAATACCAATAATAATAATAATAATAATAATAATAATAATAATAATAATAATAATAATAATAATATTAATCATGATAACAATGGCAATAGCATAATGTAATACTTTGTATGTACCGTATTTTTTATAACTATTTTTAGAAATTGATGATTAATGCCTGCATACTTGTATGATTTTTAGTTTTTGATGTTTGTATTGTATTTAATAATAATAATAATAATAATAATAATAATAATAATATGAATTGTAATAACAATAATTTATGCAATAATTTTTATGTTTTTTATAACTACCTGTATTTTTATCAAAGTTCTGTCCAACGAAGATTTTCCATTGTATTTTATGAATGGAACGAGTAACATTTGATTTGATTTGAATTTGATAATACGAGTACGTCATCAGCATTATCGTAATTAGCGCCTTAAACATTATTGACAATACATCGTCGCTCACATCAAATCAAAAAATCACGTTAAAATACGCGCTTTTGTTGTTAAGGACTTTTTGTGTGGTAAAGAATACAAAATTGCTTGACAACCAATACGCGCTCGTTTTGACGCACTACTGTGAATTCACGAACTAACACAATCTACTTTGATTGTGTTAGTTCTTGATGTGAGCGACGACATATACGAGCTGAGTATGATCGTTTATTCATGTAAAAAGCATGTAGGCCTATGCACTACGTTGAGACAGATATTCTACTAATATGCATACATTTCTAATGTTCCTGGTGGAAGAAATATCAATTCCGGTATAGTTCTGTCTCCATGGTGATTGTATTGCAGTCACAATCTCAATTCATATATTTTAGTCAGCTGGAAAATATATTAATTTGAATTTGGTTACGCTGTTATAAATCTTACCATCGATCAATAATGCGTTATTAGTGCGATAAACGCGTTTCAGATACCTATTAGACACAACCGTTAAGCCGAGATTTCTTGATCGTTGGAGTTCCTAGACCGTGACAGGAATGGCATTATTCTGCCTGATCCTTTATAAACGAATAACGGTGAATTAAACGTTTAAAATAAATTAGTTTATAACCAAACATTACGAACAAGCATAATACCAAGGCCTTTATGCTAGTAGGCCTATCAGTATTGGTTGATAGCGTATGTATTTTTTTTTTTTTTTTTTTTTTTTTTTTTCACATCCAACAGCAAACACTCGCGACTTGATGCAATAAATCTTTAAAAACGAAGACTCTTATTGAGGCATTAGGGAGTGTGTTTGATCGTGAGAAAAAGTCCTGATGTGACAGGAATTGAACCCAGGACCCTGGGATTAGAAGGCAAGCATCTTAACCACTAAGCTATTCAACTTCATTCCTTTGCTATAATTAGTTAACACACAGTTTTGGTTTATACTTTCTTTTCAATACCACGTGAACACGTCATCATTTTGTTTGATTTCGCATCAAAATGGCAATGCTTCTTATATAAACATAGGATTAATATAAGCCTATTTTGAGCATCTAAAGGATTAAAAGGCCTATTTTGAGCATTTCATTCTATTATAGTGATGCGAATTTTCATGACATGCGCATGCGGGATTTTCACCTATTGGTCAAGAACATACTTAAGCGTACGTTGACCTCAAGCGTACTTCCATCAATCTTGCAGACGTGACGTACTGTAAAGGTAGATTCACTTTTCATTCTGTTTTAATATTAAACGACACGTGGAGGTACCCATTCCTTTCTGAGCCAAAAAATATGATTGCTATAAGCAAATTATAACCACAAACGACATAATGATCCTAATTATACACGCAATATTCTTTGCTTACTCACGTTTGCCGACAGTCGCCTACAGGTAATGCAATTTATTCCCATACCAATAAATATGCCTATTTAGCCGATCCTACTCGAAATTATTATACCACAAATCGCATACCTATATTACTCTTATATTGTTTATCACTTACAAAACTTGCATACGCTGCCCTTGGGTTGTCCACATAATTTCTCGACACCTAGGATCGCATTGCCATCTCTACATGCTACAACCAATTCCCGTGTTTATAACGACAGAACACAAATACGACCGTAGTTAATGTAATGTTTACAGGAGAAATTGATTTTAAAAATGTTTGTGTCTGTGAGACAAACAGTTAATAGAAATTCCTTCTCTATACGCGATAATTATTTGAAGACTCAGTCTTATCCGAGAAGACTTGTTCGAACCAGCGGCGATAGTATGGCTTACGTTGCGGCGCCCCCTGCCATAACCGCTTGGCCATCCAACTCTTCCAATTAAATGTTCATGCTGTAATTTTTTATCACAAGTACTGTGTAGTAAATGTACACAAAACTGCTTTCATGAAGAGCTGATCAGGAGAGATCAAATGACTAGAGGATAGCTAGGCTATATTGGATATTGATCACACTATTGCAATCAATCATGTCTTGAAACTAATTCAACAATGACGAAGTACTAGGGGTTTTGTGTGAGACGACCGGGTATTAATTAATAAAATAATTAAGTATGCCGTGATAGCGACATACGATGATTGAGTGTTAATGTAGTATGGCTTACCACTGTATATTACCAACACCTATCATTGCAACTATGAAAAGAATACTTGTCCAAAATGGCACCACAAACGTATCAAGATAGCGGTTTTTTGCGACATATAATCTTATTTATATACATATATAGACCTACATTACTGTAACGATAACACGAGAAAAGAGTGTCTATCTGTTTCCTCTTTCTCACTGTGAGTTGAACAATTGTTTTAGTCAGGATAGCCTATGTAGCTGCTATGTCACAACCAAACCTGACTTCTACCCAGAATCAACTCCTTCTCTCTTCCCACTATTTCATCTTATAACCTTTTTGGGCGCTGGCTAAATTCTCAGCATGGGGTATCACTTCCCTGGACTAAATTCCTACACCGATCGACCGACCGACAGGTCATCTGTCACCCAACAGAATTTCTCTCTGACAGGTGTCTTACTAAAGTAGAAAGGGTCAAGCCAATTGGGAGTATGATCGGCAGATGGCCACAATGGACCTTTCCGCTAAGCCCCGCCCCTTGGATATTGTTGCTAAGGTCCCACAAGACGACAGTGTTAAAACATACGCGAACACGTGCGTTTGTGGGAAAACACGTGTGTTTGTGAGACGCGCGCGTATCCCTAGCGCTGTTCTGATTAGTCAGTTGATAAGTTTGATTGACACTCCGGAAAGGTCTATTACTTGGTGGAAAAAATTGAGAGTAGCTTCAGCTTTTCTGCATTTTTGAAGAAGCTTTTCTAGTCTTCTGTATTCATACTTACTAACATAACTGCTGTAACTCAAATCGTGAATAATGTATACATTACATTACCATGTCTATATAATTTAAAAATTTTGTTTATTACCGAGTTCAATTCCTGTCATGGTAACAATATTTTCTTCTCACGACCAAATCTTAATTCACTCTTCCTACGAATCTCAATAAACACTTACCATAGATTACGTAGCTTGCCACTTAGTAAAGTGATTACGTTCGGTATTGGCATATCCTTCAACTACCTAAAAATAAAAAAAAATAAAAAGTTAAGATATATAACTATATATATAAAACTAAAAATTAATAGTATATAGGCCCAATGTGTAATAGGGGGCTAATTGTTTACATTATTCTCTACCGTGCATGCCTAGATACACTGCAGATGTTGGTAAATATATACGTCAATCAAGTGAGTTATATATCCACGGGAGATTATAGTCGGGAATATCAACGTATGATTTATAACTGTATAAAATTTGCTCATACCTCAGTGCTTGCAACATCATTAAACATTTGTGTAATGTATATAGATCTATTGACCTTTACCAATGTAGTTGTAATGTTAGTGGTAATGCATATACACTTTAAAGTTAAAAACCAGAAACGATATAATAATAAATGTTCATAACTGCGTAATTTGTCGTAGATAGTGACCACAAATCCAATTATGTGACATCCCTTTTTCTAATCAATGAGTTGGTTGATGTCAGATAACCAATATTGTCGCAATGGTTGTTGGCAGCTATATGTCGTGACATCTAGGCACAACCGCTGTTAAATGCAATGTACCGATATGTTCGAAGGTGGCATGGTTGCTGACGGATAAGTTGTGCGATCTTCGGATGTCAAGTGAACAAGGAAGAATACAAGTTGACATGATTTGCTGATAGCTATGTTGTGATACCTTAACATAACTGACTGTTAATACACCAAGATGTTTAAGGGTGGCATGGTTATTGGCAGATACGTTTTACCATACTCAAATGTCAAATAAACAAAGGATATCTAAGTTGGCATAATTTTGTTTTGTTGTTGCTAAAATATTCTAAGTTGTTTAAATGTAACATAATTGCTGGCATTTAGGTTGACATCTTGGAGTATCAAATGATCAAAGAGAATGAATTGACATGATTTGTTGATAGCTATGTTGTGGCATCTACGAAAACCGCTGTTGAATGTAATGTGCCAAGAAAGGCGAAAAGGTTGCTGGCAAATTACTTGATGTCAAAGAATAGAATTATCATGATTTGCCATTAGTTCAGTGGTGAGATCTTGGTATACCTTTGTAAGAACACCAAGATGGTGAAACGAGTCATTGTTAAGAGATAGGTTGTGACGTTTTAAGATGTTCAATAAACTCAAGACCATTTCATTTGACATTGTTGGTGACAGCTATGCTGTGATATCAGGCATATACCAAGATGTTTGAAGGTGGCATGTTTTGTGACAGCGATTGTGACATCTTAGGATGTCAAGGGAACTCAGAAGAATTGGCATTGTTGCTGACAACTATTTGGCATGTTTTCCGACAGATATTGTGACATTTTAGAACGTCAAATGAACTAAGATAAGTTTAAAGGTGGCATGGTTTCTGACAGAGATTGTAACATATTAGGATGTCAAATGCACTAAGATAATTACCGTATTTTATTAAGCATGGTTTACTGATACTGTTGCTATCTTGTGATATCTTGGCAAAGATGTTGGAAGCTATAGTCTCTGACATCTTGTAAATAACTAGTGTTAAACGAACCAATGGTTGCTAACATTTCTGGCAGCTAAGTACTGAGACGATGGCATACCTTACATAGTTATTTCTATTAACTTGTTGGAAGAAAACTAACACTGGTTCTTTCTCCATACAAAATGATGCTATAATTAATTAATATTCATGACAATTTACTCCAGTGTATATTCAAACGAGCAGCTTATGCTATTGCCACAATATCTTTCTATTTTACTCTCGTCAGTTCGTTAAAAATAGATTTGTTTATATATATATATCTGCGGGTTCAAACCCATTATACGTAATTGTTTTCCAGAATTAATCGCTCCATTCTGATATTGTGGTGATTTTTTTTATGAAATAATTGATGCATCAATCGTTGAGTTTATGAAGAAAAATTACGATATGCGATTGCAGTATATAAAAAATATATAACTCATAACGATTATGTTTGATTCACTGGGTGAATTCTTGACAAGCAATTATATTTTTTTCAATCAATTTTTTTCTTGGATTTTCTGACACGTACGGTACATACGCGCATTACATGCGCACATTGGATCTCTCTATGATGCATCTCCTTTTGCATTTATCGTCATGAATCAGATTGCCACTAGGACACATTTTGATTTAAACAAATATGTTAAATTAACTTTTTCTTCCTATTTCACTTTAAGCACTCTTTAATCAACATTAATACGCCATCATGT